TATTTTCGTTGTTTTGGGGGTTGTGTCTGATTTACTGAGTAATGGTTTAATTGGAAATCCAATGGAGTTGATTGATTCTGTCAAATCAATGGGCATTTCTTGATTACACTGTGTTAAGGCTTGGTCTGTCATGGAGGATTTCTCACCGGTTGGGGTTGGTAGGGTAGAGATAGTGTGGTAGGGGTCATCATTTGGGTCAGACCTTTCGTCTGAGGCTTGAAGTGGGTCCATCTGGAAAATTGGGGTGCTTTTTTGGTTATTGGGCCGAATTGTCTTTAGAGATGGGGTAGGGTCCATTTGGGTTTGGGTAATGTCCATATTGTCAGAATTGGTAGTTGTAGTTTGGGACCTGGGCCCAGTTTCCCGGCTTGTGTGGGTTTGACTTTGGCCTGGGTTCGCTTTTCTTTTAACACTGACATTAACCCGCTCCTTTGTGGACTGTCCTGTTCTAGTTTGGCTGTGTGGCCCCCTCGTGGAGTTTTGTTTGGGCAGGTCCATTTCCTGTGACAAGTTAGTTTTGTTTGTGTACCGGAAAGTTTGATTTCCAGGAACTTACCTGAGGATGCATCGAACATTTTTACATTGATTTTGTCCTGTTTTGCTGATGAATTGTCTTTGGGGTAGGTATCCTGTTCTTGCCTTTGTTTTGTGGCGGTGTCCTTTTTTTTCCTTCTTGGGAAGGAGACAACTTGCCATTCTTCTTCTTCCTCTGTACTTGTTGTTTGATTTGCAGTGTTTCTTTGGCTATTTTTTGAGCATTCTGGGCTATCCCGGGCTGGTGTTGGTATTGGCTTTGTCTATGTGTACACCCTTTTAGGGTATGACCTATTCTTCCACATCCAGTGCATAGTACATTTTCCCCTTCGTAAAGTACTAGTTGTTTATGATCTCCTATTGTGACTGAGGTTGCTACTGGTTTTTCTAGGGGGACCTGAATGCATATGCGTGCATACCTTCCTCTAAGAGTGGCTGAGGTGCATGTGTCAATTTTTAGTAGTTTTCCCAGCTTCCGACCCACCTTTACAAGAATTTCCTTATCATAGAATTCTGTTGGCAGCTGCGGTAGTCTTACCCAAATTGCAGTGAAGGATAGGGTTGCTTCCTGTGGAACGAATTTTGGTTCCCATCTTCTTACTGAGAGGAAATTCCCTGATAAGAACCATGGCCCTTTTTGTAATGCTTTCACTAAGTTCTCCTCTTTGCTAAATTTGACTATGAAAAAATCCCATCCTAAGTCAATCAAAATCAACTGTTCGGATGGACTCCATAGGTCAACTAGCTTAGAACGGAGAAGGTAGTGTGGCATTTTTTTCCCAAATAACTTGATTATAACTGAGAAGCGTCATGGCTCATACAGTCTGTTCTTATCTTCTTGTGATAGAAATATAGGCCCTGTGGATTCCTTCCCTTTTTCTTGTGTGAGTGTTGATTGAGCTTCCGTTGCGTAGTACTCAGCTTGTGTAGTGTTTTGTTTGTCTAATAGCATTTCCTTATATGAGTGCATTTGGTTAGTTTCTACCTCCATGATGGTGTTATCCGGTGGTTCCGGTGGTATGTTGGGTGACTTAGGTGGTGTTTCCATGCGGAAGATTCCTAGTGATGGATGAGAGTTTCTCCCACTATAAGAGCTTAGAAAGGAAATTCCATTATGAACTCAATGTAGCAAAAAATAAAGTCAGCAATTTGAAAACTTATCCCCAAATTGTGAATTATTAATTCTTTTATGTTTATCTATTATTTCTTTTGTGCCATCAATTATAACTTATAAACACATCTAACTGATTTGAGTTTGAGATATTTCATCATGTTTAATTATCATACGGATATGTTTCCTTTTACTAAATCTATGATTTGCATATTTTACGAGGCAAATTAAGATGGAAATGAAGGTAGTAAAATTATATGGAAAAGTAAAATATTTAATTTTATATTTGACTAATTTCTATGAAATTAAGAAGTCCAAAAGTTAATAAGCTTAGACACAATGCAAATTCCACTTCTCCAAAATCTACGTATTTAGTCAAATATTTTTGAAAATAAACTATCATCTTATGTATACTAGTTCATTTCCAAGAAATAGAAGTCATCCTAATTAATCCATACACCCACACAAACACACGCACCCACACACACACCATGCAACAATAAACTAAATAAAAAGTAGTTTTCGCAAACTTAATTAGCTTGAAAGTTTAGTAGTTTCGTGGCTCATACGTACGAATTACACAATCTTTTTAATAACAAGACTTCAGATAAAAATGAATATATATATATATATATATATATATATATATATATATATATATATATATATATATATTATATTCCAAAAGCCAAAAATACCCCCACACACATACACATACACACACATTCCATGCACGAAATAATGAACAACAATGTTCGTTCAATCTTGCTTGAGCTAACTCAGAAATTTCACCAGAATTTACATGAAAAAAAATCAGAGTAAGCCATAAACAAAGACTCAACTCTTTTAAGTACCTCACATGAACTACTTCTGAAAACACCACAAATAAGCAACAACGCAATACATTTCATACACTTTCTCATATTATACTTAAACCCTAAGAGATCAGAAGAGATGGACAATAATAATGGAAAAGGGAAAGGATATATTGGTGAAAGCAGTACACCAAAGAAAGGAAGTGTTTTTCCAAAGAAAGACAAGAAGTCAGTAAAAGCCATGGCTATTGAAACGATAGGGAAAGTTGTGGCGTCCCCTTTCAAGAACGACAAGAAAAAGATTAACCCGGCCCGCTGATGCCAATTCTGAGTAGCCCTGTTAATTTATTGAACCTGATTTCTTGCTTGTACTAGTATTGAATAAATATATTTATTTGTTTCAAACGTATTCAGGAGTTTAAGTTATATATATATACATCGGCAGCGTATAGAATCTACTTCGTTTGTTTATATACGCCTCTCTGATAGAGGAACTCCGTTTTCTCATTTTTTTCTCTCTTGATATTGTGCATACAAACAATTTTATTCTTCAATAAAAACTCAATATATGTTCTTAACCGTTTAATGGAATATAAGGAAGATGGTTGTTACGACCCCAACCCCGATCGTGATGGCGCCCAACACACTGCTAGGCAAGCCCGACCAATTTAATAACCTTAACCATTTTTATCCAGTTCATGAATTAATTAACACAGATAAATTACTAAGTCATAATACTGAAATTCTGAAATAGAGTTAAAACATGCGGAAATCCCAAATATCAATACTACTACACAGAATCCGGTGTCACAAGTCTGAGCCTCTAATACATGGGTATCAACCTACTACATATCGTTCTCTAGAAAATACGGAAATAAAGCAATAAGATAGAAGGAAGATCAGGACTGCGGACGTCAAATGCAGCTACCTCGATATTCCCGGATAAGCTGCTAGGCAGAGAAATCCTCACACAGCCTTAGATGTACCTGGATCTGCACGCAAGGTGCAGGGAGTAATGTGAGTACTCCGACCCAGTGAGTAATAAACATAAATAAAGACTGAGAATGAGAAATCCTGAGTAGGCACAAAGTAATTCTATAAATACAGCAACTTACCAAGTAGTATAAAATCAGTAAATCAATGAAAATAATTATGGAAATACCACAACAGATAAATAAGTAAAAGACAATCAAATATGCAATGTAGCACATAAACCGGTACTCTCCAGTACCCGCTGCGGCGTGCAGCCCGCTCCAGTTATTTATCGTCGACGGCGCTCACTGGGGGTGTGCAGACTCCGAGAGGGGCCCCTTATGGCCCAAGCGCAATAATAAGCCATCTCGTGGCATCAACTAGGCCCTCGGCCTCATATCAATATCAATATCATACTGCTGCGGCGTGCAGCCCGATCCCATGCTCAGTCCAAAATCACATAAGCCCCTCGGGCACAATCATATAGAAATATTCAGCCCAAACTTTATTAAAAATATAAATTAAGTTTCAAGTTTAAGAAAATGTGGCTGAGTTTGGAAAACAGTATTAAATACCAGGACTGAGTTCAATGATATGTAAAAATGGTAAGAAACAAGTAATAACAATCCCTGAAGGATTCAATCAATTGGCATAAAGCCCAAATATAGCAATCAGCTCAATTAAAATGATAATAAGTGAATTTAAGTCAAATACGCAGTATATTCATCTACCGGGACGGACCAGGTCATAATCCCCAATGGTGCTCTACCCCACGCTCGCTACCCGGCGTGCAAGTCACCTCAATATAGCACTACGATGTGCAAATACGGGGTTTCAAACCCTCAGAACATCATTTACATCTATTACTCACCTCAAGCCGGCCAAAATCCTAGCTCGCTATGCCCTTGACTCTCAAATCAACCTCCTCGCGCGTCGAACGAATACGTCGCAATATGCCAATGGAACAATATCCAATCGAAAATAATTGGAAAATAGCGAAAATCTCGAAATTAGCAAAACCCAAGCCCCGGGCCCACTTCTCGAAAATCAGAAAATTTTACATCAACGGGTTCTTTATCTCGCCATGAGTTTATACATATAAAGAACACCAAAATCGGAGTCTAAATGACCCCTCAAATCCCAATTTGAAATATTAAAACTCAAGCCCTAGTTCTTCCCCTTTTTGCTAAGTTTCCATGGATTTCAAGGTCAATTTCACAATTAAATCACGTTTTTAGTTCATAAAACTTACCTCCAACCAATCCCAGTCTAAACCCTCTTCAATTCCCATCCAAAAGCTCTCAAGAATGCTCAACAATGGTTAAAATAAGACCTTGCTTGCGGAGGATTTGTTTTAAAAACTATTCTGCCCAGTTCTGAATCCCTTCTATGCGAACGCGATGGCCCCCTCGCGTTCGCGATGAACAAATATTCCTCTGACCAAAATTACCCTTCGCGAACGCGGTGTCCCACACGCGAACGCGGTCCTTCAGCTGCTCCAACTACGCGAACGTGATATCCATGTCGCGAACGCGAAGAACAAATAACGCGGGTCCTCAATTCCTCTTACGCGAACGCGAGACACTGCCCGCGAACGCGATGAACAAAAACTCAGGGCCCAAATCCTTCTACGCGAACGCGATGGCCTACTCGCGTTCGCGAAGGCCAATATCCTGCTGCACTGACTGCAGAATTTCTGCAACAATTTTCCAAGTTCAAACTTCCCATTAGCCATCCGAAATCACTCCGAGGCCCCCCCGGGACCTCAACCAAAAGCACCAACACATCCTAAAACATCATTCAAACTTGTCCCAATCACAAAAATACCTCAAAACAACACTAAAACCATCATTTCTCATCGAATTCAAGCCTAAGTTCTTCAAAAACTTCCGAAATACGCATTCGATAAAAAACCCAACCATTTCACCTCCGAATGACCTGAAATTTTGCACACACATCCCAAATCACATAACGAAGCTACAACAACTCTCGGAATTCCATTCCGATCCTCGGAATCTCACCTATCAACCGGAATTCGCCAAAATACTAACTTCGCCAATTCAAGCCTAATTCTACACCGGACCTCCAAAAATACTTCCGATCACACTCCTAAGTCACAAACCATCCCCCGAAGCTAACCGAACCATCGGAAATCATATCCGAGCCCTCTAACGCATAAGTAAACCTCCGGTTGACTTTTCCACAATAAACCTTCCTTAAAGAGACTAAGTGTCTCATTTCCTTCTAAAACCAATCCAAATCAACTCGTTCACACAAGACTCTTATAATGAAGCATAAAGGAGCAGAAAATGGGGAAAACGGGGCGGTAACTCACGTGAAGACGGGTCGGGTCCTCACATCCTCCCCAACTTAAACAAACGCTCGTCCTCGAGCGGGTCAAGAAACATACCTGAAACCTCAAATAGGTGAGGATATCTGCTCCGCATCTCCCGCTCGGTCTCCCAGGTAGCCTCCTCCACGAGCCGACCTCTCCACTGCACCTTCACCGAAGCAACATCCTTTGACCTCAACTTCCGAACCTGACGATCCAAGATGGCTGCTAGCTCTACGTCATAAGTCAAATCACCCTCCAACTGAACTGTACTGAAATCCAAGACATGGGACGGGTCTCCAATATACTTCCGGAGCATAGAAACTTGAAAAACTGGATGCACGCTCGACAAGCTAGGTGGCAAGGCAAGCTCATAAGCCACCTCCCCAATCCTCCTAAGTACCTCAAAAGGCCCAATGAACCGTGGACTCAATTTCCCTTTCTTTCCGAATCTCATAACACGCTTTGTGGGTGAGACCTTCAACAAGACCTTCTCGCCAATCATATAGGATACATCTCGGACTTTCCTGTCCGCATAACTC